TTTGGTTCCAATCTCTCTGGCGCCCTTCTTTAAATTTCAAACTTTTATAGGCTGAAAGAATATTTTTAGCTTTGGAGCCTAGAAGTTTATTTGAATTTGTACGCCGACACTCTTATATTCTTTTAATTGGTGCTTTGAAGATTACATATTATCTTCTTTTGAAACTGGCCAACGACACCTTTTATTTAGACATCATTTGGGTCTTGTGCGCATGGCCCACCAAACGGATCGAAAGTAGAATTTAACGAGGAACCTGCTGACTTATCTGTCTTCTTTTGTTGATTTTGTAGATAACTCATATATTCTTATAATATTTTGCAATCAGTTGAAATTTACCGTATTCCAGATAAAGAAAAGTATGAGATAATTAGCCATTCCAAGTGTATAATAAAAAAGGTCTATTTACTTAGTGAATGGACTTCTCTATATCAAATCCAGGAATATATTAAAAAAATTCAGAGAAAAGAAATACAGAGGTAAAGTTTGAAATAGTTACTTGAAAGTAGAAGCTTTAAAATTTTGGCTAGAGCTTTAAAGATTGACAGCGTAATAACTATTGAACACAAACTTCAGAACTTTTATTAAGCATAAAAATACAAGAGAACGGCGTAATGAAGGATAAACACTTAGAACATTTGCTTTTACAACACTCGATGCCCTTTCCTTCTCATCTTGAAGGTTATTTTATAGCTATCAGAATATTACATACGAATTTCATTTGTAAACCTACACTTGCATTTGAAATTCATTTGAATTTGTAGGCCGACACTCTTATCTTCTTTTGATTGGTATTTTGGAGATGACATCTTATCTTCTTTTAAAACTGGCTGACACCTTTTATTTAGATGTCATTGGTGCTCGGAGTGATCCATTTATTTGTTGCTTAGAGTGATCCATTTGGTGGCCCATGTGCACAAGACTCAAATGACGTCTAAATAAAAAAGGAGTCGGCCAGTTTCAAAAGAAGATAAGATGCAATCTCCAAAGTACCAATCAAAAGAAGATAAGAATGTCGGCATACAAATTCAATTGAACTTCAAACGCATGTGTAGGTTTACAAATGAAATTCAAATGTAATATTTTGCTAGCTATAAATAACCTTCAAGATGAGAAGGAAAGGGCATCGAGTGTTGTAAAAGCAAATATTTCAAGTGTTTATCCTTCATTATGCCTTTCTTGTATTTTTATTCTTAATAAAAGTTCTAAAGTTTGCATTCAATATTTATTACGCTGTCAATCTTTAAAGCTCCAGCCAAAATTTTAAAGCTTCTACTTTCAAGTAAGTATTTCAAACTTTACCTCTATATTTCTTTTCTCTGAATTTCTTTAACATATTCCTGGGTTTGTTCTAGTATCAAAGCCATACCTATATTTTGTTTTGATTTAGTCCCTCATTTAATATCTAAATCATGCATTCATCTTATTATTTACAAGACATCGTAAATAATTACCTGTTCTAATGCTGGTAAAATCTTGAAACTTATAAGACGGTTAGTAAGCCCATTTGAGTAATAGGGTGTTCCACACTTAGATTCGATTGTTCCCATTAAATAGAACAATTATATATGAGTCTTAGATAATAAAAAGATGGCTGCATTCTTTAGACATTTAATGGTAGGATCTATCTCAAAGCATTCAAATATAGTACAAAGTAACGAATATCATCTACCTATGACAATTCTAGAAGAAAAAATAGACACATATAGGATAGGAGCTCTAGATTTCAAAACAGCTTTATCAGTCAAAATTCATGAAAAAACCATATCAATCCGAGAAGAATTTCAAACAATTCCCTTTTTGAATCATTCAACAATTCAGAAATATCTTAGTAAAGGATATAGATATCTTCATTTTGGACTAATACAAGTAGCAATAAAACCTTTACTTCATTAAGGAGTAGATGCTCCAATTTACTTAACATTAAGAGATAAAAGACTCAAAAGATACAAGACTTCTTTATCAGCCATGATTCAAATAAATGTATGTAATGGACCAATATATTTTAATTGGCCCTGAATTTTCTATAGATATGATTGACCCACATGTTTTATACTCTATGGTATTAGACACTCATTTACAAGGAGATGAATTTGAAAAACATAGTAAAAATTTTGCTATAATGTATAGAATGTACTGTAGACCTTTATCATCACAATTAAATCCAAAATTTATAATGACTCCAACCCTAAAGAATGAAACTGTAATACTTCAAGTAGAAGCAGATAGGCTAACAGTATATATACCTAAAAGACTAAATGGAATAAAATCACAGTATCCACTGAATTTAAATACAAAATCCTCAAGTTCCAAGAAATTTAGAAAGAACAGAAGTAGAACAAATAATAGAGAAACATGATGGAAAAGTATTCATAAAATTTCCTTCATATAAGAAAGATCATCAACTTCTTCAAATTTTCATGGATGCCAGCTAAACAATCCTATTCTGATTCTATTGAATTTGTATCCCCTATTGAAAGTAATTCAACATTCAAATTTAAAACACTGGTACCTGAAATAATAAATCAAATTAGTCTGATTCTCATCGACACATTCACAAATGAAAGGAGAAATAAATGTTATAAATAAAGCTAATTTTAAAATTATTATAAATATTTAAAAGAAGATTTTAATGATGAAGAAAATGCAAATAAAGAATTTGGTTTGCCCAATTATCACCTTTGTGTAGAAAAAATTTGAAAAAAGAATTAAAACAAAGAAAGTTTAATTTTCCTTTATTCACATGCTTGTCATTTTATACCTAAAAAATGTGACTATATGATATACATGAAAAACCTCAAATAAATTTGCAAACTAATTTCTATAAAAAATAAAATTTGAAGGATAATCAAGTAGTTACATCAATTCATCCCCATTACAAGAAATTAGAATAAACACTATTGAAGGTGATATAATTGCATCACCATTTAAAAAGAGGAGAGAAGCAGAATCAAGTACAAACAATAATGTAAATTTAGAAGATATTAAAAAACTATATTAGCAAAATAATTATACTAACTAGATTCCAAGAGGTACTATCGTATAGCTCACTCACGAATCTTACTCAAAGATTATTTCCCTCAAAATGTTTTTGGCAACCAAATAATCCAGTAAAAATTTAGACTATTATGAGTTAATCCTCATGGACAATTAGTCGAAATTTATCCTATTCTAAATAAAGAAAAATTTGAGATAATTAGTCATTCCAAGTGTATAATCAAAACGGTCTGTTTACCTAGTGAATGGACTTCTCTATATTCAAAAAGTCAATCTCAGTTCGATTTATTCCAGATGGATTCACATACCAGGTTTATAAGATGGCCTGGTACTGTGCCTTTTTATTTAGGCCATTCAATCATTCTTGACTTTTTACTTTCAAAGAAAGTTGTAGTAGAGAATTTTCAATCTGGTTTCATCATTGGTGGAACTGGTTTGGACCCCGGAAAGAAATTGTACCTCCAAGAACATTAATAGGATTTCAGACTATTTCAAAAAAGTCACGGGAGAAGAATATACAAAGCGAATTTGTTTCATATTCAATTTAAAGTTCCATGAATTTTTTGTTGGAGCTTTAAAATTCATCAAGAGATGGAAACACCACTTCCAATGTCTTGAGTTCGAGAATTCAAAATCAAAAGGTGGGCAGGACTCAATTTGGATTTATGTGATTAAGAAAATGTTATCAAATTTTTAGAAACAGGAGAAAAACTCAAATGGTTAGTTCATCAGATTTCAAAAGGAAGCACTCTAGACACACCTCAAAAGAAAGAACAAGCATCATCATCAGATTTGGCATCAAATGAATTCTTACTCAAAAAGATGATGTAGAATCCCGAGATATTACAAGAATATATGAGCTATCTACAAAATCAACAAAAGAATATAGATGAGATAGCAGGTTTCTCGTCGAATTCCATTTTTGATCCGTTTGATGGGCCATGCACATAAGACCCAAATGACGTCTAAATAAACGTGTTAGCCAGTTTCAAAAGAAGATAAGATGCAATCTCCAAAGTGCCAATCAAAAGAAGATAAGAGTATCGACATACAAATTCAAATGAACTTCAAATGCAAGTGTAGGTTTACAAATAAAATTCAAATGTAATATTCTGATAGCTATACATAACCTTCAAGATGAGAAGGAAAGGGCATCGAGTGTTTGTAAAAGCAAATGTTCTAAGTGTTTATCTTCATTTTGCCATTCTCTTGTATTTTTATGCTTAATAAAAGTTCTGAAATTTGCATTAATATTTATTACGCTATCAATCTTTAAAACTCCAATCAAAATAAACTCATAATAGTCTAAATTTTTTGCTGGATCATCTGATTAGGAGTAGAAGCTTTAAAATTTAGACTATTGTTCTGATTGTGGAATAAAAGGCATTTACAAGAACCAAAATTTAGACTATTTTGATACCGCAACCAGATGATCCGGAAATAGGGAATTCTTGAATAATGGTCTAAGCAAGCACTCTGTGAGGACCTAACCCAAAGATGTTCTTGAACCTAATGCTCTTGCAGTCTATGAACTTCAGTTTATTTTCTTTTAATTTTCATTACAGTTTCTTTTTTCTTTTCTTTCCCTTTTCTACTGACAACTAGAGGTGAGATTTTCAATCTCTACTATTCTTATACTAGAGATGAGAGAATCAACCTTGACATTGTTCAATCCAAGTCAATGATCGTTTTTGGATAGGAGATTCAATCTTGAGCTCTTGCCAATTCAATTGAGAGCTCCCCAACTTCTAAAGGATAGGCTAACACTTCTGAATTTTTTTCCGCCTCATGGCCAATATGTTTGATTAATCCTAGAACAGCAACAAACCAGAGTGACTTCATTTGGTTCCATTCTCTCTGGCGCCCTCCTTTAAATTCCAAACTTTTATAGGCTGAAAGAATATTTTTAGCTTCTTCTTGGTGACCCCTTCCTGGGGGAACAGAAAAAAAAAAACCATAGAAGAATACGATAGAAAACACAAAAAACGGAAATGCAATGTAGGAGATGATAATAGGTAAAGTCAAAAAAATAAATATAAAAATTCTGAGACACTTCCTTGGAATCAACTGTACATATTGCTCAGCCATTACTGAAATAAAACAATCGTAAGAGGAAACTAATTCACAACTATGTTACATGCAGGTTACAAAGTCACACAACATGAAATTTAATGCCTTCGTCCTCGAAAGATTTAGTGGCTTGGAACAGAGTACAACAATCTTGTTTCCTGTGACCTTCATGTATTGTACAACTACTGCAGACCTTCAAACGTTTGCCAGATGAATTTCATGATCAACCATAGAGTCTTATGCGAGTTTTGATGGGCTCCCGACACAAGGGGCACGTCGATATGGTGATGCCACAATCCTTGCATGTCTATTAAAGGTTTCAAAGCACAAAATGAGATGCAGAGTAGGAAATTTTGGGGTTGGGGGTGGAGGGGAAGGGGGTTTGGGGAGGGTGTATGAACAATGATAATGTGATGGTCATTCAGATCACTGGTATGGATCTCATCTTAACATACTATAGTAACACATTTCAAATAGATTTTGCACCTTGACTGAAATCATTGCCAATAGATAGTTCCACAAAATAAGAAAAGAAAGAAGAAAAAAGAGGAACACATTTAGCTATATCAGATTTGATCACGTAAACCTACCAAGCAGGGAGGCAAAAGAGCAATTTAGTTTCAAAGAAACAAGAACAATAATCCTAGCAATTGCAACCAACTAAGGGAAACTAAACAAATAAAAACGTCCTCTAAAATATGTTCGCACTAGTCCTTTTTGTAGATTTACCCTTGATGATCCACTTACAACCTACATTTATTCTCGCCCCAATTAGTCAAAAGTCAAACCTCAAATTTTATGTTAATAAAAATCAAAGATTTGGAAATCATCAAGACAGAATACAACTCTAGCATTGTGACCAAGCATGTTTTTCCAAGGATATAATTGAGTGAGAGAAGGGACAAGTAAATATCAACCACTGTTGAAGGAAGTCACAGGGGTATGCTGGCTATTTGCAAACTAGATTCTCAACTGAATAGGATACAAGAAAATCATGAAATACAACAGATGTAAACTTACAATAGAATTGTCGAAGAATATAGGAACCACCAATAACAAGGTGAGCAAGTAGGCCAAGGCCAAAAAAAAAAAAAAAAAAAAAAAAAAAAAAAAGTTTCCCAATGAATGAAAGCTTGCCGGTAATATTTCTAATAAAAGGTGATTTTAATAACACCATTTACAACCATAAATTTTAGCTTTTATTTCTAATAAAAGGTGATTTTGCCTCAAAAGAGCCAAGGTCTTTTGTGAAATCAATTTGATGCGAATTAAGTGTGTAAAAATGAGAGAGAGAGAGAGAGAGGGGGGAGTGTGTGTGCGGGAAGAGAGACTAGCTGTTGCAAAGTCTAAAAAAATAACTCACAAGATTGATTAGTTTTAGTGTCAGAAATGCATAAGAGAAAAGAAAGAACAGAATAACAAAAAAGAGGAAAGATTCGGGTGGAGTGACAAGAAAGGGAGATATGTGTAGATATAGGATAACAAAGGATAGAGTGCAGAGTCATATTTTGGCAAACTTACATATTAATTAGCATAGAATTACAAAATTGTAGAAGAAAAATTTGTCATGGCTTAACAAATACATGTTGAGTTCATCATCTCTAATGTACAAGAAACCTCATTTAATAAACTCCTATTATCTATAGATTAATCCTATTTGCTCTGGGCCAATAACCTCAAAAAAGTGACCTTTCAAACTAACTAATTCCATAAACAACTAATAAAACTCAGAAATTATGCTTAGGTCAGAAATTAACCCCCAAACAAAAAGGGCGTGCATTCTTCATTCAGTGTTAATAACATAAAATATAATCTAAAGATGGTTAAATGCCTCAAGGGTACAATATAATAAGTGCAAGGGGCCATGTTGTCCACTCCATTAAATCATTAGCTCTAAGTGGATTGGAAGATGAAATCTCTGCTTATCGACATTTCCCAAGGACACTAAAAACTGTTGGTCAAATCATAGACTACATTCTCATGCTAATACTAGTTGATAATTGATTAAGATACATACCAGATGTCCACATCCAAAAGCCATATCCTTCGGATTTGTCAAGCATATTGGGCAAACCTTGTAAAAATATAAATTGAGTATATATCAGAGCATATCAACCATAGACGACTCCATGCAGGAATAGTTAAAGAAGTTACTTGATCTGCTGGAGGTCCATGGTCAACTGGTTCAAAGCTTGTCACGTGTGGGGATGATTTTAAAGAATTATCATGATCTATAACTTCACGTGGAGGAGGGAGTACCCTACTTCTGGGACCTCCAGAATTTCTACAGAAAAGGTATACAGATTGAGATTCCAATAAATTCTTGAACAAATAGTAAGCACAATAATTCACTTGGTCTTACTCATTGAATGGTAGGCTTAGGGCGGCTCTGTATTGGAAAGGAATTTCCATCAGAGCAGCTAATGCAAATGATGCCTCTCTTTTTGCCATATTGGTGTGCTCGGACATGATTTTTGTGAAGTTCACAAACTGAAGGATAGCATAAGTAAAGATTAAACAAACATCTAATTCTAAAAATTTCACTTTTCTTGAATTTAGCAATAAAATTTTTTATCCACACAAAATTTCATCTACTGTACATGGATCAGCACTTCCTCTTTTGTTCTTTTATTCCTTTTTTTTTTCAGTTGGGTGTTTAAAGGGTGAAGAGGGAAGAGAGAAGATACTGAGATGAACATAAAATTCTACAGAAGCAAAAACCTGAAGCTTTACATTCCAAAGACCTAATGAAACTCCGTGCACGTTGACATAAATTTTTATAACCGTTAAATGAAACAACTAGCATGTGCTAAGCTTATGTTAATTACAAGCAGAGGAAGGGCAAAACTGTATCGCACTAAGGAAAAGAGACTATGTTGCTCTACCCTTACAACAATGGACAGCAAAGGATAAAATGAAAGAAAGACCAGAATTTTATTTGACACCAAATAATACGTGAGACAGGTTGAGTCAACTGCAACTGTAGATAAGTAATCATGCAAAAATCTACAATGTGGACTATCAAGTATACAGTTGCCTGGAGTATGTTAATGTTAAGCACAAAATAAATTGATTTTGTTAGCAAGTACCTGAAAATTGTCAAAAGCACGTTGAGGAATGTTGTCATCAAATTGTTGCATTTCATCCCAAGGTCCATCCCCGACACCAACAAGAATGATTGAAAGAGGATATTCACTGTGCATTCATATTATGTTAGTAAATTCAAAATATTTGGAGAATGTTGTCATCAAATTGTAGCATTTCTTCCAGGGTCCATCCCCAACACCAACAAGAACATTGAAAGAGAATATTCACTTTGCATTAAGTATTAAATTAGTGAACTCCAAAGAACAAATAGGGGATTTCCAAGTCCACGGCATTACCTTGCAGCAACTATAGAATTAATAGTTGCCTGCTCTTGTCGACTAAACCTTCCATGTGGTGTATTGGAACTCCTAGTAACCTAATAATATATGCAAACATTAAAGGACAAGAAAAGGTCACGCAGAGAGTCAATAAAAGCTTATAAAGTTCATCAAAGTACAACAATTGAACCTGTCCATCAGCAATAATTACAAGGACATGATATTGCCCATTGCTTCTCTCTACAATATCAACTGCAGAATCAATTATTGGTGCAAAGGATGTTGGACCTATAATTTGCGTGCATCAGTAAGGCTAGGAAAAGAATCAAAAGTTAACTATATCAGACATGCAGATAGAGAGATGTTAGAAACTCGGTTTCCAATTCATTGGTTTACAAGCCTCATTTTGTGGTATAGATAATTATTCTGCAACATTTTTGCAGTTTAAGTGCACTATTAATAACTCACAGCAGAAAACTGATAACCTTACATAGAAAGAGGAAGGTACCAGAGATATAGTGAAAGATGTGCATTAGTTATTTGTCTTTAATGATTATTGCAATGGCATTCAAACATTTTTCCCATAAAAGGCAAAAGATGGAAACAGAAAAGTTGAAAGAAAAGTAAAGACCAAATGAATGAAGTAGCACAATCTTTTTCTGCAAGGTGCACTTAACACACTACTATAATCCTCTTAGATTGTGGGAATGACGTGATTCACTTTATACCGAAAGAGAACATGATGATTCTGAAAATAGCCTTAGGAAAATATTGTTCAAATATGTATAAAGGTCCTGTTAAATCAAATGGATCAGTTGGTTTCTGCAGTAGTCAACCTAGATTGGATTGTTCTGGACCACAGAATGACATAGGGACCATAGAATGCTAGTTACACAAAATCAAAACACTAGGGCTAGGTTTCTTTAGGAAACTTAGAAATGCAAATGTTAGGGCTAGGCTTCATTAGGATATTTAGAGGGAAGAAAGTTCAGCGTACAGGAAAGTTTCATTAAAACTTTTCAACAAAAAGGAGTATTTTTGTACATCATTCTGGAGAAACGATTCAATATGTAGGAGTTTTTTCACTGCCATGGTTTAGATGCAATCATTGGGTGCAGCAACAAACAAAAATATATTCTACATGCATAAGTTTTGAACTTCAGAACACCAAAATAAGCATTCCTAATTGCCAATGAACCATGTTTTAAATCATGCAATCTGATTCCAAATCCACTAGGGTCTGAGAAATTCTAGTAAAATAGGTTGCACAGTAACTTTTCCCTTATTTTCTGTTCTGATTTTCCATTTTTCTTTTTCTTAAGTGGGGGTGGTGAAGGGGGATATATGGGATGGGATTAAGAAATCTTTCTAGGTGGACCCCAATCAATTAGGACATCAAATGTAATACTAATACCTTTTATCGCATCATGGCTTCCTTCTGAGGATTCAAATGTCATGCTTTTCCTTCATGCATTAAAAAATATCAAACTTAGATATTACTAGGGCCTTGTAGAATTGCTGGTTTAATAGGAATCATGTTCCTACTAGTTTAATTTCAGGAGGGAGTTGATTTAATTGATTCCACAATAAGGTTTGGAAAACATATTTGTACCATAGTTAATGATTTCAGTCCTATTCGTTCTTCATTCATGCATGATCATAATCATAAAATGCTGTTGAATAAAAGCATCCAGGATTATAGTAATCATATTATCATCAAATGCATTTTTCAACAATGTGCATAAACATTGTGCAAAATGATGCACTCTAGTCATCAAACCTGATAACTTTAGGTGAGGCACAATCTCTTTATATCTTGCAAGAGCTTCTTCAAATCCGTGGCAAGGTCGATGGTCAGGGTAAAAGCTGAACACATGCTGATCATGTGTGGATGCTACGAAATAAAAGAACCAGTATGACATTTCCACCCAAAAAGACGATTCTGATATCAAGTTAACAAGCAAAATTACTGAAAACTAACCATCCCAAATCCGATACAAGGTATCAAATTATCTTCATCAAAAGGTGATAATGTCCGCCCAATGATGGAGATAGCTTGCTGATATGGATTAGGTGTAGTGCCCATTGCATGAAGGCTTCTCCTGTTGAATGAATACTTTCCTAGAAACAACAAATTGTCATATGCCTTTCTACTAATCTAAGGTGGAAGTTACAGAACAGATTTTGCATCAAAGTACCTGTCCACTCATTACTCTGTGTAAAATCAATTCCCAGAATTAAATTTGATGATTCGAGGCCTTCTTCTCTTAATGCAGTAACCACCTGGGAACAAAAACATTCACTTTGTCTCAGGTTTGATATAGAAGCTCTATTACAATTTCATTTTCCAATTCACAAACAACTGAAAAGTCATGAAGTAAATATCCAACATTGAGCAAATGAAAATTGTAGTAGGTCATATCACTGAAGGAACACATAATGAGAAAAAAACTATGGTTAAGGTATGATTACCTACAAGAATTAAATACCTCTTCTAGTGAATTGAAGTTATCAGCTATATAGGTTGGTCGATGCTTCCTCTGGTTGTTACTGTTCAATGAACTTGTTGCAGATGCTGGTGGCTGCTGCTGATATTTAGTGTCCACTGGATTTCCAGCATAGATTGGATGTTGGTGTTGATAACTAGGATCAACTGGATTTCCAGCATATCCGGAGGCTTCATGTGGAAAGTCTCGAGATGTGTCACCAGAAGTTGATTCTGTATTTCCCATCAACAAAATTTTTACTGCATAACAGCATTAAACAGTCTCAGTTTTGACAATGCTTTAAAAGAGTATAAACGAGAAAAGAAGATAAAGGCTTCAAGAATATGGCAGCACTGATGAACTGGACACCACAGATTCTTCAAGTTGGTAGACTGGGTTGCTCATTACTGTACTGGCCAAATCCTTATTCCACAGTCGTACTATTGTGTCAATCTTCATCTCATATAAGAACTCTTCAAGCAAATAACACTTACTGTTCTGTACGTGTGTGGCAAATTAGGGATACAATTTTCTCAAATATGTGTCCTACATATCACTAGAAAATGGTCACTTGGATGGTGCAGAGTGCCCCTCTAGGTGTTCAGAAGCAACAGGAGCAATGATCAAAGATTTTGTAGGTCTCAATCTATGTGGATTCTTGACCGGGGGACAGTAATCATTAGTGTGAACACCATTTATAATAGGCTCATGCCATAATGCATATCATACACGTTAGCATGCACATTTAATCATCCTATTCATAGCATGACTCTATTATGAGTGATGCATCATACATCATGCACTCCATGAGATCATGTCATGCTTATATGGTCTACCTGTGCTCCCACTGCTGGATCACAATGATCTAACAAACCCCACAACAATGGCAATACATGCCTGGGCAACCTAAATCTTACAATAGCAGAACACAGGCATCTGGATCTTCCAGCCACCGACCACGACCTACTAGTTGCCATCAATTGCCTCGTGGTCTGTCCAAAGCATAAGCACTTTCATCAACTATTGCCTCCTGGACCAGCCAGAGCACACATATTACCTCATTACCCAAGGCCCTGTGCATCACCATATGAAATGTATCCCGCAGCATCCCACTTCTGAAACATGAGAGCCATCCTCCCTCCCACGGGATCTAGGGTCTTGTGGACTGGAGGTCTAGAAAACAAGGCACATCAAGCTTTTGGTCCTATAATTGACTGGTTCCTAACTTTCCTAGCATGAAAGATTTATTTCTCCAACCAATCTGTTTGTGGTGACTTGTAATTTTGAACTACCTCTTCGGCATGTAAGACTAATGAAAAAATACTTTTGTCAGCCATCATGCAGCTGTTAATGCCCTACATGTTCATAGCTGAATAATTACTTTAGCAAAGGACTAACTTAAATGAATCAGGATGGTTCCTTAAGAACCAAAGAGAGTATTCCCTTTTCCACTACTGCTGCATAACACATTGGAAAATACATGCTCATTTCACCATTTTCACTTCTGGATGTAAGGTCAAATCATGATTCTAACCCATTATAAGCATCAAGAATTGTGAAGAAATCTTCTTTTAGCAGTAGGCAGTAGGCCACTATAGCAAAAAAGTATTTTTGCATACTACACTAGCAAGTCTAGCGATGAGGTCAGGCTTCACACAGAAAAGAAAAAAAAAAAAAGAGCCGAAATTAGGATCAAAATACTCAGAAACCAACAATTAACATAACTATGCACCAAAAACACTTTAATAGCTCCCAAATTAAGAGCAGAAGTTCATAGTATGGTGAAGAGAAGTGAGAAAGACTGTATACATCATTTAGATTAGACACTCTTGTATGATAAACTGTAACAACCTCATGATCTGTACAGCATTCCCTCAGAGAATAGTTCCTATTGAAAATTTTCTAGTCAGTAATTGCTTCCTATACTTAATTTCTTAGTCACATTTTTGCAAAGAACTGGTTAACAGTAACTGAAAAGGATAAATGCAACAATTAACTAAGCCAAAGATAAAGCACACATTATGGAGATTAACAAAGAAAAAAAAATCCAACTTCTAACACTTTTTCCCTTTGAAGCATAAAAATCATGTGAAAGTTCCAACTCAGTCTAAGCATGCAAATCCATCTTGTTCATTCTATTAATTTTCCTAATTGCAAATGCTTAAATTATCACTGGAGCAATGCATGCAAAGCTACAAACTGATCTGCCTTTACACAACAGAATCCAAGAGTTTGACAAAAGATTATATATGAGATAATGATATCTGTTGAGAACATCAAGTGTCACAAAAATTGTGTTCAACTGATCATTAATTCCTCTCCCCTCATAAGCCCTTCCAATCGTTTAAAGCATAAAATCCATATCAAGCACTGAAGGGCAGCGCCTAAAGCATCAAACCCCTTCTTATTCCAATATCACACACTTCAAGTCAGACAAGAAGTCCTATAATTAGCCAGAATAAAGCCAACCACTCCGGTAAGCAGAACCAGGCCAGATTGTGCTGTACGACAATGTAACTAAAGATTGCTTGAGGCCAATCTATCATGTTCCCATAAGCACCAATATCCATACAAATCTTCAACAAAGGTTCCAAGAAAAGGATGCCATCTATTTGGGAGGCAGAATTTTTCCATATCTTGCATTATGGGAATAAATTGTCCAAGAATTCGTTTGTTTTATGCCCCTTTCAACCAACCATCCTCTTAATTACACCAATTCCAATCTATGTAGACAAAGTACAAGTCTTCCAACATCTGCTAGTTCCTGGACCTATAATCAATCCTTCCAGCATTGCTTTTTTCCAATGAGATCAACAACATTTGCATCAAGACCAGCTGAAAAGCTAAAGATTCAGGAGACTAATCACATTTTGGCAGTTTGCATGTTCCTCCAAACCTCAAACCTAGAGTTTCAACTTTTTCTCTCTTCCATAAGGTTGGACTCTGCTTGCACTTTTCCACCATTTCCATGAAGCTGTCCACACAACAAACTAAATAGAGTATTAGTAGATACAATCCTCCATCGTCCATTTTGCATATTATTTATGTTGTGAATTTCCGCTACAAACATATATACATACATACTTACATATATAAATTCAGGCTCCAGCCAATATTGTTTCTTCTTTTGATTATCTCTCTCCTCTCTCCATTTAATTCAACCTATTTATTTGATGAAGAAGCATAATGCTTTTCTTGTTTTCAATAGAAAAGGAGAGATGTTACCAGTTACCTAAAATATCAGCCATCAAGACTGACCAAACATGAGGAGGACTACTGCCGGACTCGCTTATCATTCATTGATATAGCAAGCAGGGCAAAACCCATGATGCAGCCTTGTTACAATACTGTTTAACCCAACAAACATGTCAACCTGCAATGGACACAAAATTTAAAGATCTTCAACTCAAGGCCTCCACCACCGCCTTGCTGTTCGCCTCCTAATACTCTCCCAACAAGTATGTCCAGAGCTGACAATCCTGAGAGTATGTACTTGACTGTCTATTATGATTCTATACGAATTCCAGCTGAGAATTGCAAATTTCTCACTTTTAACTTATCAACATGACTAACAATTTTCTGTTCTTTATATTCAGAGACTAGGTAATCTAAGTTAAGTTTATCCAACAATTCAAAGAATCCCCACAAAAAAAATCCATTTCTCAAAGAAAAACATTTATCAAGAAACACAAAGTATCCTTGCACACATGAACTATCATTCTACTTGTACTTGCTATGAATGAAGAGATAAACAGAAAATCAGAGAGAGAGAGAGAGAAGCAAACTGTAATAAAAGGACCTTTTGAAGTAGATGATGAGATAGATAATAATACCAAGAATCTAAGACTGCCTTGTTGGTTGGTCAGGCCTTTTTCTGGGCTTTTCGTTTGCACTTTATTCTGACTTTCTGCAAATGCA